TACAATGCTTTCATACACAAAATATCAAATTTTTTATTAAGTCTTAAGGTTTATAAAGCAATGTTTTTCTCATGTCCTTTTTTCTATTTCACATGTTGCCTATCTATCATGCAAAATAATATAAATTTTATGATTAATAATACTTTATGCATCAGAAAATTTTGAAATTTCACATGCAAAATCTTTATAATGTCCAGATAGTTACCAAATGTTTCTTAAGAAAAAAACTATTTCATCCACTATTTTCAGCAATGAATCTCTGTACGGGTTCAGTTGATATGACCGATCTTGTAACCACCATAAAAAATTAGGAAATAAATACATATGCCTTTTTCTTTCAACAATGAACACAAATTATAACAAGAAAAGATAAATGTTTATACTAAACAGCTTAAATATCATAATATTATACATTTATATATATTTATTATATTGACCTTTCAACCGTGCATGGCTAACAATACAGAAGTTACAATGACGCAGCTCATGTGCACTCATGTTACCATATCAGATAACATAAAATTGACCTTTGGTCTGTGCAAAGTAACTTGTCTTGGCTGTGTTTTAGTAGACTAGTATTTTGTAAAATACAGTCAAATTTCAATTATTATATATTATATATGTATACAGATTATTGCTATTTTGAAATAAGTTCTTAAACTTATTTTTCTTAAAACACAGAAAAGTAACTAAAGAAATAAAGCAAACAATTATCTCTTCTAGTTACAACCTTTGCACTTGGTTGCTGCTTGACTTAGGTTGCTAAGCATTTAAAAAAATTACACATGAAGGATATGAAATAAGTTTTTTAGGTTTTATATATACATTTGAAATAATTAAAAAATTGTAAATTACTACATTAATACCATAGAATTCTACTAGAACTTATCAAGCTTAGTAACTAAGATGTATTTTAGTCTAAAACAAATATGAAATTTTAAGCAGACTAAAGACACACCCTACCTCGTTGAAATATTGGTTCAAAAGAAAGAAACGACACTAAGTCTGATAAAATGGCTGAGAAAGCCACTATGGGGGACATTCTCAGCTTCCAATTGGTTATTCATGTCATATATAGAAATAAGTGTATATAAAGGAATGTTTCCAAAAAAAGAAAAAGGTGGGCAGGGTGCCACTGTGTTTGATTTATTATATGAGCAATATCTTAGCAAATTGAAAAGATGCTCTTATTTTATATTCTAGCTTGTCAATATCTGTAATTTGAGTTTCTAATTTGGTTAAAACTATAGACTTAGTATTTTGAGTTTACAAACACCTAATTTGAACCAGTGCTGCATTCAACATACTACCTGACATGTTTTTTTTAATATTTACTTTTAAATTAAGAAATTGAGTAATATATATATTACTAAAATTTGAATTATAATCTATAGTTTGATACCAAACTCTTTCAAAAATTCATAAATTAGTTCAATAAAATGTTGAATGAGAATCAACAAACGAGATGACATAGCATCTCACCCATGACCAGTCTCGAAAGGGTTAAAGCAGTGTCCTTTCCTTATCAAAATAAATAATGAAAGCAAATCTTTGCATCACTGTCAGTGTAATCTATTCTTGTTCTCACATAACCCATTACCATCTAGCTGACAAGTATTGGTCAATAAAATGTCAAACACTTTGATGGAGAGATGGAAAAATCATACAATTTACATTACCACTAACGTTATAACAATCAGTTCTTTCATATCCTGAAACAGCAACATAAGGAAAACACATAAATAGCTCCAAAATGGTTTAAGTGGTGATCAGTTAAACTTAATGTCCTTTCCTAACCAAAATTAATAATGAAAGGAAATCTAGTACACATCAGTCCGATGAGGTACCAACATCCATTTCTTGGATTCTTCCTTTCTCCCCTTATTCGTCACTCTCCTGCACCTACTTTTTAATCTGGATCCTGCCAGCATTTAGTCTCCTTGTGCAAAGTGATACTGAGTTCCAATGATGGATAACTGTTATGGGATCAAAGTCACTTTTTGAAGGCAAGTAGAGCATGACCAGAAACTGATCAATGATCCTGTCAGCTCCCAGACAAGATCTCATATTAGTCTTGATCATCCTCATTTTACTGAATCCTCTCTCTGCCTCAACAGAGCTGACTGGTAGAGACAGCATCAGGTCAAACAGGTATTAGGTAGCTCCTCCTCAACCATAGGAATGATAGCAGCCTATGACTTGCCTTTCTTACTACGCCTGGTGAAATTAAGTAACAAAATAGATGTGGAAAATATATCAGAGACGATGATGAGAATTGCATTATTATTCCTTCCTATTTTTAAATCTTTATTTTGTGTTCATTGAAAGATAGTCTATATTATGCAATGTTTTATGATTATCAGATTATAAAACCGATTCCCAAGAAATTAAAAATAACACCATCCAAACCACTTTGTTCACAACAGTCTTCATAATTTGCAAGTATGCTTACAATCATGACCCTACACTTTTTCTTTTGACACAAAAACATTATTCACCACAGAATAAAATATCATTAGTTAAAACAATCTCTTTCTGTTTCTCATTTATTTACATAAGTTGACACACTGAATGAATGAAAGGTTCAAAAACAATCTTCCACACATTGCAAAGCACGGCCATTTTTTAACAGACTGTACATTAGCAAACGGTCATACAGAGCTAATGTTCACTGTGTGCTTGCTGGAGATCTACCAAAACATTTCTAGTGAGATTATTGGGGTGATATGTCATGTGGCTTCATGTTAGCACCCCACCGTGTATTATCTCATTGTATGGGGA